TTTATGATCAACTCTTAATTTGCATGTTTTATCTGCTATTTTTACCATAATTAATGGGTTTTGTTTGAAATGACCTTACATTTTTTCATTCCATCATTTAAATTCATCATTCAAAGTAAGAAATCAATTAATATACAATTTCATTATATAATATTACCACAGCCTTTGAATCAAATCCATCCAACATTAAATTTATATTTTTTCTTTGAAAATCTTAAAAAAAATAAAAAAAATAAAACATATCCTATTTAGTATATAATCGAAAATTTCAAAATTATTATTTATTTATTAATTATGATTCTTTTCCTACATTTTATTTTTGCTTATCACTATGCCATTCATTTATGTATGGAGCATTGTCACAGTAAAATGAGTAAGTCAAATACCATGCAAGGTACAAATGTCAATACTATCTCACTGACATCAAAGACATATTTGATTTCTTAATCAAACAATACTCTATCACATAACATTATTCTTCCTTGCTTTCAAACATGCAGCAACTAATTTGAAGGTATCTCAACTATGACATAAAGCATGATAGCCAATTATGCCTCAATAATCCAAGAAGCAAGAATAATCACTAAAGGAAGGTTGATGGTGGTGGATAAAATGCAGCAAGGAGCCAAGAGGGTCAGTCTCGTGTTGATAATTTTCAGCAAAATTGGTCATAGGAAAGTTACTCAATGACGGGCTAATGATTGGGGTATAAATGCAAGAAGACTTACATATTTCAAAAGAAAAAGAAATAAATGGAGGGTGAGGGTTTGTTTGGGATGGCTTTTTGCAAGCATTGTTATTCATACAATCACCATACTTTTGTTCGGCTACCACTTTCATTTTTTTTAGAAATTTCTATGATGTTAAGCTATTTTCATAACTAGAACTATTAATGTCCTCTTGTAGGACTTCATGAGGAAAAAAAATGATTGTAATTTTCACAATAACTTATTTAAAAGTTACTTTTCCTACAACATTTTTATAATCACATTTACAAAAGGTTAAAATCATCTCAAATGGATCATTAGTCTAATTCCTTAATTTGAAACTAAAGCTGCTGTTGCAAAATCTATTGCATAGTTAATATAGTTACTGGTTACCAGTTGCAGCCACCAAATTCTTAGAGACTAATAACATGTATAAACTTTAAACAAAACTTAACAAAAAAAAATTGAATTATTCAAATTTTATTAGAATTATATATCCGATATCTCATTATTATTATTATTATTATTATTATTATTATATATATATATATATATATTTCAACACATTAGAGCACGTGTGTGGTGAGTTTTAAACCACTGCTTTGGATGCCCAATGTGAGCTGTATTATTAATTTCAAGTATAATTGACTTTTAATGAGCAATGATGCAATATTTTGAAATTGTTATTCGGCCCTTTATTTGCTGTTCTGAAGCTGGAGGAATTCCATCTATTGTTTTCCACATTCTTTTTGCATGATTTGGATTCTGGACTGTCGGTGCACGTGTTGTTGTTCCTCCCGTAAGCCTGTTAGGAATTCAACTCAATAGCACTAATAAAATGAAGAGGCATTCCAAATCTACTTTATGTTTCTCATTTCAAATTAGGCACATAAGGAAAAAAAATACACAAATAAAAATATTGTAATTTAGATGTTACACATGTAAATACTTACGATTGAATGGCGTGAATGGTCTATACATATATTAAAAGGAAACCAAATATCGATTTCTCATGTGTAATCCAGCCCCATGATGAGAGTCTGCGTCATGTGCTTATAATTCGACCCTCACGCGCCACAGTAGGGATCAAACATTTGCAAGAGGGGACTTACAGTGACATTGCCTACCAACTGGACAAGGCATGCGGCACACACACACACACACACACACACACACATATATATAAAAGTGTGGCCAATAATTAGAAAAAACTCGACTTTATTGTGGGAAATTAAACAGTCAACCACTATGTCACGGATAAATATGTGAGTTTAATATAATAGAAATAAAAATATTAATCATTTTATAAAATCGAGGAAAAAAGATCTAAAAGCTATTTAAATTTTGCAACATCAAATGTCTCAATTAATTATTATTTAAAAAAAAAAAACGAATCACTCACTAAAAAATTACGCAAATTGAGTATATACTTTAGTTAATAATGGTGGGTCTAATAGTAATATGTGTAAGCAAGTACAATCATGCTTATGCGTGTACTACATTAGTTTTATGAGAACAGTTGGGATAAGATTGTGGATCACTTAATCTAGACTTAAATTATTAGATTAGTGGTATCCTTTATGGTTTTTGTTATATCATATGAAAATGCATAGAAGTGCTTTGGGTCTAAATTTGTGAGTGTGTGAAGGAGGGAGCCAAGGAAAACAAGCACAACCAAAAGTTGTTAAATGCTAAGTCCAGGAATTCTGTTAAATAAAAGGTGAAAGGGAGATTTGTGAGAAGTGTTTAAGAAGGGAAGATGGTTGAGTAAATAAGCAGATGCATCAACTGCAACCATCCAAAATTGATAAGGAATTTGGCATGATTTAATAAAGTTTTAGAAATTTCTATAGATGTCTATTTTTCATTTCCGGCATGTCATTCTATTCAGGTGTATAAGAACAACTGATTTGATGTTGTATGTCATGATTTTGAAGATAAGTTGTTTTAAATTCGGTATTGTCGTCTGATCTTAAATGTTTAATATTTATATTAAATTGATTGCATAAGTGTTTGTGAAAGGAAGTAAAGCAGCAAGTAACATTAAATTTGACAAGTAAAGGAAAACACTAACAGTAGCGAGAAAATGCATCAATAAAGGTAACGTAGTACTTGTAGCCATTAAAAGAGCGATACCCAAAATATCAGTATGTAACATTTTTAATACCATGAAGAATATTAAAAAAGGGAGAGGAGAAAAATTCTCAGAGGAAACATATGTTTTCATTCATATATTTAGTTGTTACATTAAGCTAGGTTTATAGACTCTGGATTGGCATATGTGTAAATACATTTGAGCGCAAAATGGTAAAGACACAATATATTGGATGTAATGCCCTAGGTGTTCCCATGCTTTCATCGAAGGTTCATATAAGTTCCTTTAGGGGAGAATGATTAGGGGGATGAATGACTTTACACTTAGAGACAAAATGCAAAATGATTATATCCGTGAAAGTGTTGGTGTAGCTCCAGTGACAAATAATATTAGAGAAAGTCGTCTTAGATGGTTTGGTCACATTAAATGTCAACCATCTGATGATCTGATTAAAAGAGTAGATGTTTTAGATTCTACTTTTGTTAAGAAAGACAGAGGTAGACCTAGGAAGACTTGGGCTTATTGTATAAAAATGATCTTAATTTATTAGAACTAAATGAAAATATGACACTAAATAGGACGCAATGGAGTAAAATGATTCATGTAGCCAATGCCACGTGATGGGAAATACAATATAAAAAATTTGCAAAGTAATGTTATATAATGTATTTGAAATACTTTATAATCGTTTGGTTTTCTGTAAAACAAATGCAGGATTTTATATTTTTTGTTTGGTTTGAAGTAGATTAAAAATAATGTAATAATTTATTTAGGAAGCGAGCACCGATAGGCTATAGCAGGCCGCAGGCAATTGACGACCGGCGACGGGCAGTGGGGGGTGGCGCAGTTTGCTGATAGTATTTTACAGTGTAATTTAAATTCGGTTAACTCAGCTGAATTCTACATTCAACCAAAATGAATATAGAAGTGAACTTCAAATTCCTTAAAGCTTTACATTACACTTATACCTCTTCATATCAAACACATAATTTCTTCAAATTCTTGTGTATCAATAAAAGTACACCACAAATCCTTCGAACCAAATAGCCTCTTAATACCGCTTAATTCGCCTAAACCTGAATCATCAACATCTGATATAACAATCGTCAGCCTTCATAAAATCTTAATTAATACTAATCACTAAAGTTCTTTGAAAAATATTTCAAAATTCCTTTGAAATTAAAACTCTTCGATATCCATTTAAATTAAGAGTTATGATTTTATCATAAATTTTGATATAAAAATAAATGAAAGAGAGTGTTTGATTTGTAAATAATAATGTTTAGTGTTCTTTGTGCAATTGCCCAAAAATAATATATTTGCATTTTTTTTTTGTCAAATGACATCAGCATTTTAATCGAAAAAAATCATGCCTGCTCCAAATGCAAATATGGTCAGAAGACTGAAATCTGCTCCAAATGAAAAAAATCATGCCTGGCCCAAAGAACTTGATCAAGCTTGACCAACTCGAAATCGAAAATGGCTTAATCAAATTTAGGCTATTTGGATTCGTTCTAGCTTGAAATCTGCTCGATATGGCTTGAAATAAAAAGCATGATGGCTCAAACTAAATTATTTGGACTGGTTTTAGCAAGAAATCGGCTCATACTCTGTAATATTTGATTTTATTTAGCATTATATATGATTTATAAATAAAAAATAATTTGATCCGATCTTGAGCCACTTCATGCCGGTCTCTCTATCGCTCGAAAAAATTCGATCCAAATTTTTTACTCATTGGCCAGCTCGTTTATTTAGCTAAATTTTGAATCAATTTTCTATAGATTATGGAGTTCAAGTTAAATTCACTGCTCGGATGACTAAGAGAAGAGCTAGAGAGACAGAGAGGACAAGAGAAGTTATAATATTGTTCAATAATATGGTTCATAATAACCCAAAAAAAAATTATAGAATAATAATATATAATATTGTTCAATAATTAATATGTAAGATATGCATTAATTTCCTACAATTTAAAACTTAATGATCTCCCTATTAAGACTAGGAAAGCTTGTAAATTATATTTAGTTGCATTAATGGAGCACCTTCCCTTTCCATAGAAATTCTGAAATTATTTTTTTTTAATTTTTAAACAAATATGCTTATCATTTAAGATGGTCATGCTTTTCCAAAATTTATTTTTTAGGTTAAATAAATAAAAATAAAAATTATTTAAATTAACACACCAATAAGCTGTACAGTCCTCCAGCTCTCCCCTCAGTCCAAATTTAGAAACAGAGAAGCCTCCCCTGTTCCCATTATATCATCCTGCTCTAATCTCCTCTGGTGCAAATTCCAAGCAGAACAAAGCAAGCAATCAACAATGTCGGAGTCGGTCGCCGGCGTTCCTCCCGTCGTAACTACCATCTCCACTCTCCTCCAGCGAATCGCCGATCAGAACGATGCCCTAGCGGCCGGTCGCTGCAACATGCCTTCCCAGCCGCCGCCTCCCGCCGCTGTGGCTTTCTGCGCCTTCGAGAAGCCGGATATCTCAATCAGATGCTATCTTGATCGAATCTTCCAGTTCGCTCACTGTAGCACTTCCTGCTATGTTGTCGCTTACATCTACCTCGATCGCTTCCTTAGTTTTCATCCTTCTTTCGCTATTGACTCCTTCAATGTTCATCGAATTCTCATCACGGCCGTTCTAACTTCCGTCAAGTTCATGGAGGATCGGTGAGTTCTTGATCTCTATGTTTCTTGTCAGGCTCAATTTGAATTTTAGGGTTTCTTCTTGAATCTAGATATTCAACTCTGTTCAAAATTCGTCTCTATTCTTTTATGAGATTCTTATCAGTAATAACCATTTAAAGTCGATTTTACAATGGGTTTTAGCAGAAATCTGACAAAATTCGCACAATGACGGTTTTGTTTTTTCAATTCTGCTGTTTTTTTTTATTTCTATTTTTGGCAAAATTTATAATGTTTTCAATTTAATTTGGGATTCCGGGGTTTCTAACTTGTATTCTTCTTCTTGTTCCATGTTAGGTTTTTTGTTTTAAATTTCTCACAAAACCAACTTAGATGCATTTAATCAACTGTTTTCCTTGATTAATTACTTTAATGCCCTTTTCCCTTTTCTTCCAACTTAACAACTAAGCGTAGGTTGGAATTTCTTGTACGAAACTCCGCTGTCCTTAAAATCTTCTGTTAAGCTAAATTATTGTGATACGAAGATCAGCATTGAGTTTCAAGTCCTACCTTCTAACATATCTTCCTACAACCACAGTGATGATGACTTACAACTCTCGTGTTACAATCATCTTATGGCACATGTTCTGTAATTAAGGCACTTAATAAAAAAAAGAAATTTAAACTGTGAAAACACCACACAATTCTTATGTATTTACATATCTAACCCCCAAACTTCAATATTTACACTTTTAACTTCTTGGAGTCAATGTTATAAACTTATGTAATTTGTAAATATATAAGAATTGTGTGTATATACGTAAATTTAATTTTAAAATATTTTGAGTAAATTTTATTTACTTTTTTTAAATCATGAAATGTGATTCGGCATTTTCCCAACTAAATTCAACTTGGAATATAAAACAATTATTCTTGAAAGTATAAGAAAGTTTTTTCATTTGGTAAGACAACATTTATTTTTATTAAAAAATAAGTATGATTAATTATCTTGATTTTTATCTTATAAAATATAAAAAGGATGCCTTGCGGCTATAGAAAAATGTTCAATATTCCATATTAAATATAACACATAATATTCTTATCCAATTTTTTCTCACAGTTTGTCATGACATGACCTGATAACAAATTATTGTGTTAACCGAGTAAACATCACCACAACAATGCTAGCTTTTTAAATGAATAATAACCATTGGTCCATTAATTAGTTAGCTACTAGTTGTATGTTAGGTGGTTAATATTGGTGATTCTCAACTGCAAAAACATACAAATAGTAGAAAAATTAGTGTTGAAATTGGCGAGAAGTCCCATAAGTGGAGAAAAATGTTAAAATAATATCTTGTCTTTGTAGGTAGTCATTTCTGTCTTAAAGTTTATAGAAGCGTCAATTTAGTTTCTAGATTCTTTTACTATGAGCAGAAATAGTCGCAAGAGAGACTTTTAAAGACATATGGACTAAAATGACCTGATTAAACAATCAAAGGACTATTTTGACACTTTGCTCTTACTATAAGTATATATGTCACATGAACTTTGCCATCTCTACATTTTGGGCAAGCCTTTGGGGGTCCATCTCTCCTGAAATTCTAGTTTTTCTATCAAAGTGAACCATATAAAAAAACAAATTGTAAACAAAGTTTTTTGTTTTGTTACAGATGTTACAACAATGCATATTTTGCGAGGGTTGGAGGGGTGAGTTTGCATGAGATGAACTATTTGGAGGTCGATTTCTTGTTCGGGTTGCGTTTCAAGCTCAATGTTACACGAGACATGTTCAACTCTTACTGTTCCTACCTTGAGAGGGAGAAGAATCTAACCAACCCGAAAATTCCACCGAGGTTGCATTGTTTTCCTTCAGAAGAAGAGTCGAGCAGCAGCTGCAAGCAGCAGCAGCTCATTGTGTGAGAACTGCCTTCTTTTTGCTCATAGATGAATGAATACATTGAAGAGTTTGTAGAATATTCATGCATAGATGAAACTTTAACACTGCTTTTAAATCCCCCCATCTTTGTTTTTTTTTTTTTTGGATTTTATGCTTCATTTTGGTCTGGAGACTGTTAGGTTGGTTGAACGCACTGTTGTGATAGTCTGCTGTTTTTGAATATATACTAATATATATACTTAGTATATATAATATATATACTTAGTATATATTGTCCAATACCAAGATATTTAAGTTAAATTCAAGTTTACTAAATTATGCTGTTTGGTAATATTTTAGTTACATCCATTACCATATATCCAACACCAAGATATCAACAAGGGGAAAAAAAAACAGTTAGTTTTACAGAGTTCTTCACCAAAGGAATCCTTTTAAGGTAATTGTAGGTTGAGAAATTAATGCTGTTTCATACTATTCGTTTGGTAGTTGGCTGAGACGAGCTTTGCTGTTTCTTGGTGGCTGTTGATCTGTGGCTTTTGGCCTTTGTGTTTATACTGGTTATGCTAGTGGCCCACTTGATGGGCTGATCGTTGGAACTATGGTTAGTGGAAATAATTGGGTGAGAATATTCTATGCAAAATTTAGTAGGTTCATTTTTTAAATTTCTAAATTTATTTTCTAAAAATAAAAATAAGTGGGCATTTACATGCATTCCACACAATTCTTATATATTTACATATATAATTCCTAAATTTTTATATTTACATATATAAGACTCAAACATTTCATATCACATCAAAAATATCACCATCATTAACTTCTTCGAAGTGAAATACACATTTTTTTATGTATGTTTTTTAAATACCAAAGCCTTATCAATGTAAATATCAAACTTTAGGTGTTTGATATGTAAATGTGTAAGAATTGTGTGGTATCTATGTAAGTTCCCCAAAAAAAGAATTACCAGCATAGAACTAACTTGTTCAATGGAAATTGTATTATTATATTTGTTATAAACATTAATATATTTACATGATAAGCGATGTTGCAAACTTTGACTAGGCACAATGTTCGGTAAAATTTCAGCAACATTTTTGGTAGATTATTTTTCATCTTAGGATATGTTAAAGGCAGCTGCAGGTACTTTTGAAGGAGCAGCTGTAAAGCTGCTACAGAAGAAATTGTTTTTCAAAAAGTTGTGATGACTATTACGAATTTATTTTATTTTCAAAAAATTTTACTGTAACTTTCCGACAACCACCGCACTTTAATACTTCATATTGAAGAAATTTCAACCACATAATTTTTTAAGAAAACAACAAGAAAGATGTTTCTCAAACAGAGAGTCGTAGTGGCAGTCTGAAAATCAAAGAAGGCTAAAAGATGTACTGGTTTCATCTTTCTTTAAGATTCAATGTTATGAACAGGTTGGCTGAGAGGTGCTCATACCTCCCATCTTTGCAAAATCTTCTTCCCAAATAAAGTAAGATTAGCCATAATTAATGATAAAACTTAAATAATTTTTTTTAAAAATGCTTTCCGTTCTACTTTAATAAAAAATTATTTAAGTATAATATTTTACAAAATTCAACAAAATAAGAGGGGAAAAAAAATCTTGTTTGTTTGGGCATTATTTTACAAGCAGCAAGTGGGAGAGATCTATAGATTCAAAAAAAAATGTTTTCCGTTCTACTTTAATAAAAATTTATTTAAATATAATATTTTACAAAATTCAACAAAATATGAGGCGAAAACACTTTTGTTTGTTTGGGCATTATCTTACAAGCAGCAAGTGGGAGAGATCTATAGATTCAATACACGCAAGGCAATTATTTCAGGATTAAATATTAGACTTAAATTGTTATAAATAAAGGGGCATTTACATGCATACCATACAATTTATGTATTTACAATTCTAACATCAAAATTGTGCTTTTCTTTCATTTATATATCACTCAAATCTTTCATATCACATAAAAAATGTCACTCTTTTACAAAAAACATTAAAAAAATCCATCTTTTCATGTGTAAATAAGATGGCATATATGTAAAAATTTGAAGCCTAGGTATAACATATGTAAATACACAAGAATTGGGTGGTATGTATGTAAATCCTCCAAAATTAAAGTATGAACTATAAAGTAATGCATGAAGATCTAGATCATGGGAAGCTATTTAGAGGGGGAGAAAGTAGGTGGATGTGAGCTGAATGTCACTTGTGTATTAAATGAGTAGATAAGGTTAAAGGGCCATGTGAAGGTCTCCCTGTCAAGCAAACAACCCAAGATGCTTTGATTAATCTTTCCTTATTTTCGCATCTAACCAATGCTTTCGTGCCTTTCACGTTCATGAAACCTCCAAAGTATTACAGTGCCAAATCCATCAAAAAAGACCAATGCCTAATGACAGCTATATATTACGACACGGCTCGGCCCGAAAGTTTGGAAATATCGACAAATGAGCGAATTGTCTGACTGATAAATTAGTTTAGTTTCATTTTCTATCACTAACAATTAATCTTCTCAAAGAGTCATTGATGAATAAATACTCTTCTTTTATTGCTCCTTTTCTAGTTTAAAAGTTGAACATGAAATTATTAGTTTAAATTAATCATGAGTTAAAACAACTTAATGAATATTCATACATCTAAATTGTTGTAACTTAAGAAATTAGGAGTCAATACATATATGCTAATAAAATTCAATAAATGAGTTTAGAATTAATTTTTATTTTATTTTTTAAAATGTGATCATTAAAGAATGTCAAGTACATTCTTTATAGCTTCTTATATCAATTTATATATTAAATTCATCATAGGAACACCAATTAAATTTGAATCAATTTTTATATGTCAATATTAAACTTTTTTCCAATTTGTGTATGGCAACCTTAACTTTCCCGACTAATTTCAGGAGGGGGTGGAATTCATTGGTCAAGCATAGTATATAAATCATTTTATTAACATTTTAATATCAACCAATATATTAGTTTATACAATAATTTAAATATGAGGAGAGCACACATCATTTAGTTTAATAGGTCTTGTTGGAATCTTTCTTACGCACCTCCTCAGTCAAAATCAAATTACAAATATTATTATATTTCAGCTTAGATTTATCTGCAGAACTGTTAATCTTCATTCTTAAGCTTTTTCAGCTATTTGGCAATAAAATCAACAATATCAGTGCACATATCTCATCGTCAAAATCAATTTCAACATACGACAATTGATTTATGATAGTATTGAAATCATTCAGATGCTGAGCAACAAACACATCTTCTCTTATCTTTAAGTTGAATAATTTTTTTTTTCAAGTGCACATGTCTGATAAAGCTGACACGAGATCTGCAGTCGTTCTTTCTTGATGAAGTTGTAGGCAAAGGATCTCGACAAGGTTAATCGATTAACCACAGAACCTGTCGATCTAACAGATTCCAATTAGCTTCATCCATCTTCAAAATTCACAAACTAAAAAAGTGGAAATACGCATATTATATGCGGTTTGACAAAGTGTCTACGTCCACGGAGCTGCAGAGTAATTTATTAGCTTGAGGATAGCACCTGTTGATCTCCTCGATGTTTAGAAGAAAGAGTTCTTTCTCTCTTTCCTCGCCTCTCTTTTTATCTCTTGTTCACTACCCGTGAGCACCACACATGAAGAAGGCATAAGCCAGGAGCAAGAACAAGCTACTCCTTTTTCTTCTGCCGTAAGCCACCACACATGAGGAGGAATCCAAGAAGAGAAGCCTGTTGGAGAGTAATTCTTATGTCAATTTTCTTCCCTGTAACCATGGGCCCTCTTATTCTTGTTCAGGCCAAAGAAGGATTTATTGTAGCTTGCCTAAATAGAAGGAAATCAGAAACAGCCTTGCGAATCAAATCCCAACTCAAATTGGAATCAGCCCTTGCTATATCTGCTTCGGCCCAAATAATGCTGTTGCCTTAAATCGCGAACCCAAGAGCGGGAGAGATCGGAAGCAGATAGAGGAAATGCCGGACAAATCGGAAGCAGATAAAGGAAATCGCGAATAACGGTGGCGGGATCCAAATGAGGCACAGGAGAAGCAACAAAGGAATTACTTAAGAAACAAATTAATTAGCTGACTTAATCAACAGTGGACCAGGCTCCACCAATCTCAACATATACAGTACTGTAAATCCTACATTTTGAAGCTGCGGCCATTCTAAACAAACTTCAATGAAACCATAATTGAGCATTCAAACCACCGATAATACTATAATGGTACATTCTGATTAGATATCCTCCTACAGAACTACTGTTTTCTACATTCAAACAACGTACAACGAAACCAAATACTAATATTTTATGTTCATGAAAAGGCCATCACCAACCATCACAGGATACAGATCTACTGTTTTCAGCATTTTACAAGAAAATCACATCGCATCAAGAGCTTAGACCATTACAAAGTTAGCTTTATAATATCAGGAGCACTTGCTAAAAATGTACATTCGACTTGCAAGTCTAAAGGAAAATTAGTATGAGTGAAGATGCCCAAAGTTCTCCCAAAACCTCTTCAACCTCTTTTAGAGTTCTGAGGATCAAACAATGTCTTTAAACCATTTCTTAGCCAAGCTACACCTTTTAACAACATCCTAGCCAAATTGCAACTTGAAAAAATACTTGGGAGAGAGTGTACATCTTCAAGTTATCAACGTCCTACACAAAGAAATCATAGTTCTCCATCGGGATAACACATCTGCATATGAATGTGTAATTTAGTATTGGGTGATATTGGTACCAGAGTTAACACAACGCACGAAGAAGAAAAAACAATCAAGACTAAAGATGAAAACAAGACAATGAAAACAAAACTAACAAGATCCAAGAGAATATCCATGGGCGTCAGCCATGAGGTGGATGCTGGCCGGTGGCTGGAAGGTGTGACAGCACGTGGAATGCCTGATGGTGGGCGGCTGCAAGAGGCAGGAGGGTCCAACGACTGCTGACAAGGGGGTAGGAAGGATGGCAAATGCTGAAGGAAGAATGACAGTATACGATGGTGGCGCTGGAGGGAGTAGCAAATGCGAGCGATTGATGGAAGGGAAAGGCCGGCAGGTCCTGCGATGCTGAACAGAGCAGCAGTTGTGGTTGGCTGCTGGAGAAGGAAGGGAAGTTGGCGGCGGTAGCAGCTGCGGTGGCTATTGGAAGAGGAAGGCAGTTTAGCGGCAGCAACATGTGTGGGTGCTTGTTGAGAGAGGAAGGTCACTCGGCGGCAAGTGTTAAATAGTAGGTGCGACTCTGGAGATGGCTTATTTTGCCTTCTAGCTAGGGACGAGAAAATAAACCACCTTTGAGTCGAACTTCGTGCAAATGGTTTCTATTAAGCTATCGAAGGCTAGTTCTAAATTAAATATGGTCTTCAAACATCCAAATGAGCATTCGAGATGCGTCGTATCGAGCTAAATTCACCAGCCAAGGTTAAGGACGGCCAGGATGGTCAAACCCTAATTTTTCGTCGAGACATATGTTCAAGGGGTTTTTACGGAGCCGAGAGCCATGAGAAATCGTGTCACTAAAATATGACTTCGCAACTTAAAGATGAACATTTTGAAGGTTTCATTTTAAGGATTTTAGTGCGTACGGGTGTTCTGGACCTTCATGTGGGTTTGTCAATTCAAACTCTAATTTTCCATAAAATGTGTGTGGGAGGGTTCAATTACCGCCTTTGACTGCGGGAGGCTCCAAATGAACGTGACATGATCTTTAAATACTAAAAAGAACATTAGATATGTCTTGTGTCAGAATTATCATCACTCAAAGTTGCACTCTCTCGAGTAACGCTAAATCTGCACCAATCCTAATTTCGTGCTCAAAACACATATCGAGAGGTCGTAATGAATGTTCAGGACTACGGAAGACTATGAGTGAGTGAAATATAGCCTTGTAACGTTCGAGTGGACATCCTACACTTTTGACATCAAAATTTGATGACAATACTCTCGTATTAACCTAAATATTCTTGCATCTTCTTATACCTAAGTATGTGAAAATAAATAACAAATAAATAAAAAATTATGAGAAGGAGAACCTCTCATATGCAGGTTATCCTCATGAATATTTCAAATAGAACATATTATTTGCAAGCCCATTTAATTTAAAATCTTTAGGTGATATGAAATTAAATTTAAAATGACTTAAAACAATTTAAAATACATTTAAAAATTTTTACAATAATTTCAAAACTCTTTAAAACATTTAATACACACACACACACACACACACACACACACACACACACACATATATATATATATATATATTTTTAAAAATAATTCAAAAACAACCTAAAACCTACTCAAAAACAAGTTAAGAATCTCTTTAAAAATAATTTAAAACAATTCAAAGAATGTTTAAAACAAGTTAGAAATAATTTTTTTTTTTAAAGTAAGCTTAAAATAAATTGAAATGAGTTAAAACAACTTAAACTCTTAAGCTAAAAAGAAAAAAAAGTTCTTAAAACATAATACTAAAATACTTAAAATAAATTGTATAACTTAAAAGTATTAAATTAAGGTAAATAATTCAAAATAACTTACACACTTAAACAAAATAGTTCTTAAAACATAATACTAAAACACTTAAAGTAAATTATATAACTTAAAAGTATTAAATTAAGGCAAATAATTCAAAATAACTTACACACTTAAACAAAATAGCCTTAAATCACTTAAATATTTAAATCAAATAACTTAAAAATTTAAAACCCTTAAACTACTTGAAACTTCAAAAAGGACTTAATTTTGCAAATGACATATAAACTTCAATGAAAAACTTAACAAAGGAATCGAGAACGAGGACAAAATTGAATGTAAAACATCAACATAAAAATCAAATGCAAATCAACAAACACATAAAGAAACTCTGATTATCACAGTCAACAGTCAAAACTTGAGAGCTAAAATAAAAAATTAATTAAATATTAAACCCTAAACAAAATTCTAAAACACACCAACTTAAATTGTGGAAAAAATACTTAGTTGGATAGATTGTGAACCGTGAGTTATCCAATGTAAAAATAAAAGTGAGGGTCGCACATACTCTAGCTTAGTCAAGTCTAAAAGCATAGGTTAGACTGACAAGTACCCTAGTTATGCTTAAGAACTATGATCTATAAAACAAACAAACTTACCTCTATATAGCACCATTGATGAAGTAACTCGTAGTGAGCAGTGAAGGTGCATCTAACCACTTTTAGTTAAGAAGCTCTCCATTTGTCATTTCTAAGGCATTGAGTGAAGATTTGTGGTCATAAGGTTGGTTTGTAGTTGAAGGATACCAATGCACCCAGATGATGAAAAGCCACGACATCTTGCTCGAAAGATTTTGACCTTACTTTTTGTCAACTCACCGTTCACCTTAAAATATTTAAACAAACTTGAAATAAATCATGTTAAATGAAAATCAAATATAACTAACTTGAATTTGATATTAAAGTTGAACCAAAAAGCAGTTTGAAGAGAAAATATTCTGAAACTATTGTCTCCATGCTCCAAAATTATAATTTTCTCTATAAATTATTATAGTGTTTGAAATTTCGTGCTACGAGCTACATTTGAATAACATAAAATAAGTTTTAGTGACTATCAGAAAATATTTATGTGAAATTTTGCGTAGTGAGTTTCCATGCAGAATAATTTACCAACATTAAATTTTTCAATGTAGAGTCATTTCTCAAAAGAGACTTCCTGAATATGTCGTGATTATCAAATTCTTTCAAACAAGCTTCTCCGTGCTCAAATCAAACTCCTTTTTTAGACTCATTTAGCCAAGAATAATTTGGGTGATAATTAAGATATTTGTCTCAAAATGAACTCAAATCAATCCCAAACTCAAAATATAATTAAATTGACTTGTGGGAATCAAAATTGGCTAAAACTAACTCCATTACCAAATTCCTTTAGTATTTCTCTTCCGAGTAGGTCGAGGTTGTCATTTTGGCCAAAACTTCCAAATTTCGCTCTCGGAACACACTAACACCTTTAGGGCTTCTCTTGTACTCCCACGTCGTAAGGACACACCCTCTCTTTATAAAGTGTTTGGGGTGCGCCCGTGCCAAGAGGAGTGCCTGCGCCTATTAGGGCATCAGTGGCGTCCCCACACCTTGCTGTGAAGTTGGCGCTTCTGTGTTGATCTGACATCCCTTCACCGCAGAAGTAACTAGGACGGGCGCAATGCGAGTGCAACTCAGCTCACCCTTACTGGCCCCCATGCATTAAGCAGTGGCACGCCCACGCCAAAGATGATCGATCTTTCTCAAACGATTCAGACCAGAGTCAAGTTGCTTTGCTGCAGGTGATCTGTGTTAGCTTCATTGATGTTTCGAATGACCTACAACTGCTCCTGCCCATCCACTGATGATCAAGGAGATGACCCCTGCTTCAATCGATAATCATCAATGTTGATATGTGGGAGTAAACCATCCCTCCGTCAACCCCGAGATCTTCCACAAATGAGGAGAGAAGATTTTCCAGAGAGATGAGAGAATCTAATAGAGCTTCACCAAGAAAATCAATGCATATGAAATCATTAGATTTTGCCCCTTATGTATAAGCAATCGGGAAGCATGGCATTAGGCATGACGTCGTAGTGCTAACTCAAATAATAACTTATTTATGCTGTCAATAAATGTCTTTCTAAGTGAGGCGGCGTGAAGCCACTTACCTAGGTCGGGGCACTCCATCTCTCAAAGTGATAGAGCATTATGCACATATTGAATTCCGTTGAATGTGAGTCGTAGCACATGATCTCAGCATTGCGATGCCACAACATTGGGAGACAATGTTGTGCCCTAATTTAAAGCTTTATTGTTTTTGTTGGACATGCATGTATAATCCCAAAAATACTTTACAGTGACCCAATGAATTCAAAATGGCCCAAAACTAACACCAACATTGTGTAGAAAGGTTGTTCAAAGTGATAATGGCCAGTATGTGGGAGGATGCAATCTTCTTCTTCTTAAGTGTTGATTATCAAGTTGTAGGGTGTACATGTAGAAGGTAAGATATGCCATGACAAGAGCCTTTTGATTATGTCTAAATAGCAAGGGAAGGTTATTAACTTTTTCATCCCAGATGATCCTGGGTAGGCGACCTTCGCTGTCCCATGTATGGTTCTAACATCACTCAATCTGTAAAGTGGCTCTGCTTTTACCCTTCGTTCATCTTTTTGGCTTTGAATATGTGTGCCTCCTAAGTAAACCTTGTTGATTGGAGTCAGTCGAGTAGGGACTACTAAAGTTGGTCGAGGGGCATCAATTGGAGCTGACTGAGCTAGATTGACTAGAGTTGTTCAAGTTAGGTTGATTGGGTTAGGTTTAATTGAGTCGGCCGAGCAAACTGGAGCGGCTTAGCCAAATGGAGCTCGAGGTCGGGCCAAATTGAGCCAATGACCAAGTCGAATGGAGTTAGTCGGGTTGATCGCCCAATTTGTAAAGTGGCTCTGCTTTTACCCTTCGTTCATCTTTTTGGCTTTGAATATGTGTGTCTGGTTTAATTGAGTCCGTCGGGCAAACTTGAGCGGCCTAGCCAAATGGAGCTCGAGGTCGAGCCAAATTGAGCTAATGACCAGGTTTAATTGAGTTGGTCAGGCTAATTGGAACTTGTTTACCATAATGAATGGAGCTGGTCGAGTCAAATGAAGCTATTTCAATCCATACTAGGGCATTTATGGTATTTTACAAGTGTGACTTATCATATAGCTGCCTTTTGGACTGACTAGCTAAGCTTGTTGACTTTAGGTCAAATGGGTCATCTTGGTTGGCTAACTCGGTCAGTATGGTTTGGTTGGATGATCTAACCTTGTTGACTTTCTTTTATCCCTGGTGAGGCATCTTTGGAGTCTCCACGAGATGGCCATATGTACTTTGGCGAACAAGTTCTTCTTTCGGATCGGCTCTACTATGGGATATGCTATCACATCGAGTCTGCTTTTCCTGTAACGATTGGCTTGGATGCCCTTTCATCTTGTATTCAGTTAGATGACTCATGCTTGAATCATTCGATCGTCTTCTTGTATGTCTATTGCCTCAGTCGATTTTGGTCTGGTTATTTTGCTCTTATGACTTTGATTGTTCAGTTTGGTTGGCCCCATGATCTCATAACAGCGGTCCAACATTCGTCATACTTTTCTTTCACATACTCTTAGATATCTTTGAATTAAATTATCAAATTTTCATTTAAAATTAGAATAAAACACATTTAGTCATGTTCGAGTATTTAAAATGAAATTTTAAAAAGATTAAAAGAAAGTACAATTTAAAATATATAATTGTTTTACTAAAAAAATAAGCAAATTTCAACTTCAGGCAAACCCCAAGGCCTAGCAATTTCGCCCACTCGAGAGAAAAAATATTGCATAAGGACTCCGCAGGTAGAGTTGCGTGCGGAGTTTAAATCAAGTCCACTTGGGAAAAAAAAAATTCTGTATGTGCATGTTACGGAAAAAAAAAAAACCAAGTGGACTTGATGTGAAGAAAAAAAAAAATTCTGTATGTGCAATTTACGGAAAAAAAAAAAATCGGTTCTTAACACCGGAATATTCCCTGTTATTATTCAGGTGTTCTGAGGCACAGCATGGCGCCGCTGATTCCCACCCCGGCTGCGCAAATGGATACCTCATCATCCCTCCGGCTCCCGTCTTTCATCCCATTGACGACGAGTTCAAGTTTCCCTTGGAATGCATCTCCAAGATTCGACCCCAGGCTTACACTGATATGTTATGTCTCTTTTCTACTAATTCTAAGCCCCTTGGTTTACTCTAGGGTTCCATCTTTCTCAGGCTACCCATTCCACATATTGACATCTCTTACTCTTTGAATGCTCTAGTAGCCCAATTTCGCACTTGTTCATATAATCTTGATACATTCAAGTACTTATATGACGAATGCTTACTTCCTCTCTTTCTTAGATTTCATCTCGCACTTAGGTATATCTTGATTTCTTGTTTAGTATGCTTGGATGATGCTCTCTTGTTCACTAAGGATCCCTTAGAATACATCCATAGTGAAAGATCTATTTTTCTTCTTTGCTGCTTTATCAGTATTAAATTTGTATAATAAGTAGAGTGATGAAGCTGGCCATAAATTGATAAATGTCTGATAGTTGTTAAATTATTCAATTTTATTCAGAAACTATGTATGTGCTTAGAAATGGTTGCCTATCTTATAGTTCAGTAATTTTATTGATCTGGCCATCATGTTTTTTTAGTATAAGTATAGAACAATTATAGTTTAGTATAATTTAGTCAATTATTTGTTTAGAACTGTATAATTTAGTGGTGTTATAGTTGTGGTACACTATAGTATAAATATAATATATTTTAGTGTAGTATTAAATTGCATTCCTTTGCATAATGTGATCTGGATGTAGTATAATATAGTATAGTGTTAGTATAATGTATTGTAATGTTATTTAGTATGATAATAGAAAAAGTTAATATAGTGTTGTTATAGTTGATATAGTATAATATGGTTATTTCACGCTATAGTATTGTGTCATGTGATGTAATATAGTACTGTTTTTAAATAGTTATAATTATACCATTGTTATGTATACTATGATATGATAGTGTTTTATTAGTTTTTATAGTATACTATAGTCTAGTATAGTATGATGTAGCTTAGTATAGTTCAATACTTGTTTGGTTATATCATTGTTTTGTGTAGTATGATATAGTCTTTGTTTTTAACTAGTATTACTATAGTATAGTATAATATAATTTAATATTACATAGTTCTATATAATGTACTGTAATTTAATGTAGTTATATTTAGTTATAGTTATAGAATGCTATAGCTATAATTATATTTTCGTATGTTGTGGAATATTATAATTGTAGTTATAATGTAGTTATTATTGGTGTTATAGTTAGTTATTATTGTAGAATACTATAGCTATAGTTATAGTGTATTACATTTTAGAGTATGATAGACATAGTTATAGTCTAGTTATAATTGTAGTTATAACTTGTTATTGTTGTATAATACTAAAACTATTTTTATGCTGTAGTATGCTATATAATACTATAGCTACAGTTATAGTGTATTATGTTTTACAATATAATAGCCATAGTTATAGTTGTAGTTATAACTTATTATTGTTGTAGAATACTAAAACTATTGTTATACTGTAGTATGTTATAAAATACTGTAGCTATATTATAATTTAGCTATAGTTGTAGAATACTGTTTCTATAGTTATTGGGTTATATTGTGTAGTATGATATAATGTAGTTATTATTATAGTGAATACTATAGCTATAGTTATAGTATAATATGTTTTGGAATAATATAATTATAGTTATAGTTATAGTGCAGTATAGTTATTGTCATAGTTATAGTGTAGTATAGTTATAACGTAGTATAATTATACTTATAATTATAATATAGTGTGGTATAATTATAGTTATAGTTAAATTTTTAGTTATAACTATAGTGTAGTATAGATATAGTTATAGTTATAGTGTATTATAGTTATATTGTAGTATAGTGTAGTATAGTTATAGTTATAGTTATAGTGTAGGATAATGTATTATGTTGTAGAATATTATAGTTATTGTGTAGTATAGTGTAGTTTAGTTATAGTCATAGTTATAGTTATAGTTATAGTTATAGTTACAATTATGTAGTATAGTTATAGTTATAGTGTAGTGTAATGTAGTATAGTTATAGTGCAATCTAGTGTGATAGAGTTATAGTTATCGTTATAGTTATAGATATAGTGTAGTATAGTGTAGTATGTTGTAGAATTTTATATTTATAGTGTAGAAGTTATAGTTATAATTGTAGTATTAGTTATAGTTATAGTTATGACTCTAGTGTTGTATGGTTATAGTTATAGTTATAATTATAATGTAATATTGTGTTGTATAGTTATAGTTAAAGTTATACTTATAGTAGAATTATAGTTATAGTTATAGCTGAGTAAGTTTATAGTCGTAGTTATAGTTATAGTGTTGTCTAGTTATAGTTATAGTTATAATTATAGTTATAATTATTATTTTTGTGTCGTATAGTTTTAGTTATAGTGTAGTTAGAATTAGTTATTGCTATAGAGTAATATACCTATAATTATAGTGTAGCTATAGTTGTCGTTATGGTTGTAGAATATTATAGTTATAGTTGTGGCTAGTGTAATATAGTGTTGTATAGCTATAGTTGTATGTATAATTATAGTGTTGTATAGTGTAATATGCTGTAGAATATTATAGTTA